TTTCGCTTTTCAGAACATCAGCCGCCAAGGCAGTTTTCGCAAAGGCCACGCGAAGAAAGAAAGCATCTCAGATCTGGCGCAGCAGGAGCTAAAATCGCTCTTCAACAAAACGAAGAAATCCATCAGTTCGGCTGCTCAAAGAGGCCGCGAGCGCTTCAGGAAATACGAGCAACAGTTGGCGAAGCGTAGCCAATCGGCGCCGCAGAAGTTCGTCGAAGAGTTGCAGGAGAGTTTGGAGAAAGTCCAGCACAACGACGCGAGTTTGAGGAGGAAATACTCCGATTCGGATTTCACTGTTGCATCTAAAGCGGCCTTTGAACTAAGTCCGCAGATGCAGCTGCAGCTGCTGCGCCAAAGAAAACCCCCGCTGGCTTCGGCCAAAATCATCGAGGTTCTAGACGCGAAAACTTGCAGCGTGGTGCAGCGGAAATGCATCGCAGCCTCTGGAAAAACCAAGCAAGTCGTTCTGAGCAGCTTCAGAACCTTGTCCATAAGGGAACTGTTCCGGAACTACCAAATCCACAAAAGACAGTTCCATCGGGAGTACAATCAAATCAAACGCACATTCCGTCGATGCTGTTGTGAACTGTTTTTGATCATGGTGTTTTGCGGCTTGGGAGGCCTCATGTTCAAATTCACTGAGGGCACGTTCGAAACGTACTACAAGTGCGGAGTTAAGAGAGTGAAGCGAGACTTTATCGACTTGTTGTGGCTGAAGAGCCACAACTTGAGGGAGGACGACTGGAAGTCCTTGGCCAGGAGCAGGCTGAGGAAGTTTGAGGAGGAGCTGCATAGCGCGCATGAGGCGGGCATGACCGATTACAGTGGCATGCGATCTTGGAGTTTTTTGAATGGGATTGTTTATTGTTTGACGATTTTAACTACCATCGGTGAGTTTTGAGGGTCGTCGCATATCGGAAAAGTCAGCAAGTGTCCAATGGACAGTGTTTTTCTTCAGCAGTTGGAGCAAATTGCTGCGTATGCACGTGACGTAATTTTGGAGGCACTGGGTGGAAAAACTTGATACTTTTGCAGGAATTTTGATGGAATTTGCCACAGTTTTTCAGTGGAGGAGGGAACAGTGGAACTCTCTGATGTACCTGCGGATTTTGTGTTGAATATTTTGCACAATTCCTTCACAAATTTCGTGACTTTCACACAAGTCGAGTGAAATCGCCAAAAGTCTTATAAAATCAGTGTTGTAAGAAAATCGCTTCTTTGCAGGCTATGGACACATGTTTCCCAAAACTCACACAGGAAGAGCCCTCACCATCGTCTACGCCCTGATAGGAATTCCACTTTTCCTGATTGCCCTCACTGATTTCGGGAAATTATTCACCAGAGGCATCAAGTTCGTGTGGTCGTTTGTCCGCCGCCTGTACTACACTGGGAGTTGCCGAAAAGTGCGGAAAAATGCCAATATGGACGTAAGTACAATATTTCTTAATTAGCCTTCACTTTTTCATTAAATTCTGTTCAGGGTGGCTGAAAAATCGATTTTATTTCGGTTAATTTGCGGAAGATACTCACAGTTGAACGTGCAGCTTCAGGTTGGTTAAGCTTCACCTGGAACTTTCCTCAAACGATTTTTTACCGAAAAACTGAGTGTTGTATGATTTTCGTCCATAACCAAAAGCTTTGCAAATAAATTGAAAAAATAAATTTTGCATTTCGGAATTTTTTGCCATACTTTTTCCAGATATTTCGAACGCATGTTGCATAGAAACAAACATCGTTCAATCGGTAGTTAGTTGCTCATTTAATTGGGCCACCCTGTATATATTCACAGCTTTTTCACTCTCAGTTGTAAAGCAAATATTCAATAACGAACAGGGCGGTTCCAAAGTGGCAACGTTCTTCTGGATGGAGCCCAGAAGAGTTTTTAGATGAAATATTTTCCATTTTCTATAGTTTTCGTCTGTTTTCAAAAATTGTAAAAATGACTATATGACAACATTTTTCGTAACATGCAGATGAAGAATAATCAGGGCGATGATGTTTTCAGGAATTTTCTCTCTTTTTTTCAAAACTCTATTTCTGCCAGTTTTGTTAAAAAAAATTATCACTTTGTGAATTCTTTTGCCCAATTTGGTTGGTGTAATGTTGAAAATTTTATTCCGAATTAAAATTCCGAGAAACACAGAAAATATGGACAAAAGACCATTTGATTTGAAAAATTGCGTCTGTGAAAATTATATTGAAAAATTGCAACGAAACTTCTTAAAAAAATCATCACCCTGTAGCATCTTTTACCCAAATTGGTTGGCGTAATGTTGAAAGTTTTATGGCAAATACATTTTGTCAATTCCGAACTAATTTAGAAAAAAAGGACAGAAAATATATAATATACAGGGCGGTTAAAAAAGGGCAACTTTCATCTGGATGGAGCGCAGAGGATTTTTCAGAGGAATAATTTTCCGATCAAACTTGTCGGGATCGTTCGTCCATAGTTTTCGCATATTTTTGAAAAATTAAGTCAAAAATGCAAAATTTTGGAAAATTAAAAGTTAAATCAGTGCGATGGTGTTTTCAGGATTTTGGTCTTCCTTTTTTCAAAACTCTTGCACTGAGAGTTTAGGAAAAAAACAGACCAAACTTCAAAAAAAAAATTTAATAGCAAAGTTCCAAACTAAATTTTTATAAAAAGACGGAAAGTTTGGACAAAAAACCCTAATGACCAGTTTTGGAAAATTGCTCCTCTAAAAATTCCATTGCGCTGCGAGTCTTAGAGAAAACGAGACCAAACTCTACATCACCCTGCAGAAACGTGAGATAAACTTTTCGAAAGAAGTAAAAAATGGTCAAAAGACCGAGACAAATAATTTCGAAAAGCTATTCCTTCAGAAACTCTTCTGCACTCCATCCAGAGGAATGACTCCCGTTTTGAACCATCCTGTATAATGCTGCATATTTTTTTTAGAACTGAAAATGAAAATTTTGCTAAATATATACAGGGAAGCCCAATTAAACTATAAAACTAGCAACTAACTATCGCTTGAATGGTGTTTGTGAAACACTTAAGCTTTAGAGAGTAAAACGATGTTCAATAATCCGGCAGTTGCTTAAAAATGTCTCTTCAGATAAGCTCCAAAAAAAAGTAATTTGAGCAAACTTCTGGAATCAGTTGGAATATTTTTGCCTCATTTTAACAAACATTTTTTTAAAATTTATTTTCCTGGCTGCCTGACTAATTTTTATAAATTCTATTTAAAATTTTGCATTTTTTCAAAAAATCGACCCGCGCCTTTAGAAAAATTTCATCCAAAAAGCAATATTTCATATGCGTGTTTTTTGAGCTCAATCGATTCTTTTTGACGTAAGAAGCTTACAAATATGCATTTATAAACTGTTTGGGTGAATGATAAGAAACAAATCGTCGCTTAAAGATCGTGAACGGTCAAAAATCGCTTAAAATGTGCCGAAAATGTCTGTTATTTCGGATCTGAATCCTCTACCAGGTTTTTCAATGAGTTCGATGCATTCCTCACATCCGTGAGCCAAAAATGATGTAAAATTTAAGACATTTTGAGAAAATTTTCATTTTTTTAAAAAATCGACCGCCCCCCCTTGAAAAAATTTTGTTCAAAAATAAAAATTTCACATGCGTGTTTTTTTAGCTCAAATGATTCCTTTCGACTTAAGAAGGTCACTAATATGCATTTATAAAGTGTTTGGGTCAATAATAAGAAGGAAATCGTCGGCTAAAGATCGTGAACGCTCAAAAAACACTTAAAATGTGCCGAAAATGTCTATTATTTCCGATCTGAAACTTCTAACATGTTTTTCAATGTGTTTGATGCATTCCTCGTGTCCGTGAGATGAAAATGATGTGAAATTTAAGACATTTTGAAAATATTTTCTTTTTTTCAAAAAATCGAGCTCCACCCTTGAAATAATTTGGATCCAAAATCAAATTTTTACTTGCGTGTTTTTTGAGCTCAATCGATTCCTTTCGACGTAAGAAGGTCACAAATGTGCGTTTATAAACTGTTTGGATTAATAATAAGGAAGACATCGTCGGCTAAAGATCGCGAAAGCTCAAAAAGCGCTTAAATGTGCCGAAAATGTCTATTATTTCGGATCTGAAACTTCTACCATGTTTTTCAATGAGTTTAATGCATTCCTCACATCCGTGAGCCGAACATGATGTAAAATTTCAGACATTTTGAGAAAATTTTAATTTTTTCAAAAAATCGACCTCCACCCTTGGAAAAATTTCGTCCAAAAATCAAAATTTTACATGCGTGTTTTTTGAGCTCAATCGATTCCTTTCGACGTAAGAAGGTCACAAATGTGCGTTTATAAAGTGTTTGGATTAATAATAAGAAAGAAATCGTCGGTTAAAGATCGTGAACGGTCAAAAATCGCTTAAAATGTGCCGAAAATGTCTATTATTTTGGATCTGAAACTTCTACCATGTTTTTCAATGAGTTCGATGCATTCCTCACATCCGTGAGCCGAACATGATGTAAAATTTAAGATATTTTGAGAAAATTTTAATTTTTTCAAAAAATCGACCTCCACCCTTGGAAAAATTTCGTCCAAAAATAAAAATTTTACATGCGTGTTTTTTAAGCTCAATCGATTACTTTCGACGTAAGAAGATCAGAAATATGCGTTTATAAAGTGTTTGGGTTAATAATAAGAAAGAAATCGTCGGTTAAAGATCGTGAACGGTCAAAAATCGCTTAAAATGTGCCGAAAATGTATATTATTTCGGATCTGAAATTTCAACCATGTTTTTCAATGAGTTCGATGCATTCCTCGTGTTCGTGAGCTGAAAATGATGTAAAATTTAAGACATTTTGAGAAAATTTTCATTTTTTCAAAAAATCGACCGCCACCCCTGGAAAAATTTCGTCCAAAAATCAAAATTTCACATGCGTGTTTTTTGAGCTCAATCGATTCCTTTCGACATAAGAAGGTCAGAAATATGAGTTTAAAAAGTGTTTGGGTTAATAATAAGGAAGAAATCGTCGGCTAAAGATCGCGTAAGCTCAAAAAGCTCTTAAATGTGCCGAAAATGTGTATTATTTCGGATCTGAAACTTCTACCGTGTTTTTCAGTGAGTCCGATGCATTCCTCGCGTCTGTGAGTCGAAAATGATGTAAAATTTAAGACATTTTGAGAACATTTTCATTTTTTCAAAAAATCGACCTCCACCCTTGGAAAAATTTCAGCCAAGAATCAAAATTTCACATGCGTGTTTTTTGAGCTCAATCGATTCTTTTCGACGTAAGAAGGTCACTAATATGCATTTATAAAGTGTTTGGGTTAATAATAAGAAATAAATTCGCTAAAGATCGCGAATGCTCAAAAAGCGCTTAAATGTGCCGAAAATGTCTATTATTTCGGATCTGAAACTTCTACCATGTTTTTAGTGAGTTCGATGCATTCATCGCGTCTGAGTTGAAAATGATGTAAAATTATTAATTGCAATTGCAAAATAGTAACAAACAATACCCTAGCTAAGAGATGCGATCTCAGAGTCAAATTCACGTGGCTTTATTGGAAAAAATTGCTGTTTTCCTCAATGCAACAGTGAGTTGTTTCAGGACATTTTCAAAGGCGCTCAGAACCTCTACGACTACGCCACCTTCAAAAGACCCTCACTGTTCGACCCGACCAGCCCCATGCCGCCCGAATCGGAAAGCCAACAGCAAACGGAGACGCCCACCACCCCAGCGATTTCCAACTTTGAAATCGACGACGAATTCAACCTCCCCATCTCCGTAGCTCTTTTCATCCTCGTTTCGTACATTTTCTGCGGCGCCGTCATGTACATGGTGATCGAAAAATGGAACTTCTTCGAAGCCTTTTACTTCGTCTTCATTTCCATGTCCACCATCGGCTTTGGCGACTACGTTCCTCGCGATCCTGTTTTCATGATCGGCTCCATCATCTACCTGGTGTTTGGGCTGGCTTTGATGTCGATGTGCATCAATGTGGTGCAGGCCAAGCTGAGCGACACTTTCAAGCAGGCGTCTTCGAAGATCGGAGCCACCATTGGTCTGGAGGTGGACGAGGAAGGCAGCGTTATCATGGCAGCTCCGGAGAATATCGAAGAAATCACTCCTGTGAGGGTGGAGATTGCCAACGAAGTAGCCGAGGCGAAATGAGTGGGTTCTTGATTGGTCAATAAATATTTTATTATTTAAAATCCTGCGTCCTTTTTTCATCTGGACGGCGAACAGTTTTGAACATCAGACCTCTAACCTCCTAAAATGGCCATCAAAGCCTTACAGTGTCCGATTATGGCGCACGAAATAACACCCAGTTAAACTAATTTATGTCTAGCCTACATGATTCGCTTAACTACCGAAAATTACGAGAAGGAAATGGCTCCATTCTTAGACGAAGTTTATAATGAAATAATCACACACGACTAACTAGGCGAATTGCGACTTCGTTCAGTCCATTCCCGATGGCAGCGTTAGAAGCAAATGAAACTCTCCGTCTTTGAACGGTGCGCTTCCCAAAGGGCCTTCTCGCGTCTCCACAATGGTCCAGTATTGATCGGCCGTCTCAACCCCGATTTGCCAAAAACGTGTCCCGCTTCTTCCTGTGGGAGACCGCGTCGGCTAACGTGCACGTGCAGTTGAACGGGATGGTCGCCGATATGGACGACGAGAAGAAGCACGATGAGGAAATCACTCTTAAGCCGAAAATGACCCTCATCAATGGCATCACGGTGATTGTTGGCAGTATTATCGGTTCGGGAATATTCGTCTCGCCTTCTGGCGTTTTGAAGAACACCGGCAGTGTTAATGTGTCGCTGTTGGTTTGGACCATTTCGGGCGTCTTTTCCATGGTAAGTTCTGTTTGAATGTAACTCGATGTTCGGTATGAAGAAGTCGAAGCTTCTAGAAGGCGTATCTGGCTGTCTTTCAACCTAGTTTCTGGAACTTTGCAGTTCCAGATTTTCTAGCATGGTTTCAACCACCTCCTAAAGCTCTTTCTCCTTCTGGAAAGCTTCCAAGAAAAAGTTCCACACGGTTGAGGCGGAGTCCAGCTTCCAGAATCTTTTTGTTGGAAATTTAGTTTCAAAAACTTAGTCCACAATTTTTTTTAAAATTTTCTTACATTTTCACTCTAATTCCCTGGAAAACATAACTTTCCTAAAACTGAAAACTAACTATCCTCCGCATTCTACACTCTAATCCAAGTCGAAGAAAGTAGAGAAAATGCTCCCAGCAATCTCTTGGATTGGCATGGAAAAGAGAAACTTGCCTAAGTTCTGTTTGAAGAAGAACAAGCTTCTAGAAAGCTTCTCTGGTCTTCTTCGATCTAGTTTCTGGAAATTTCCAGCTCCAGCCCTTTAGCAAAGCTTTGAATGATATTCGAAAGGTTTCTTCTTCTGGAACCTTTCCAAGAAATGGTTCTACATGGTTAAGACGGTTTATGATTTCAAAGTCATTTTGCTGCTTATTTATATTCAAAAAAATTAGTTTTTTCTTATACAGAAGAAAACCAAACCTTCTAAGGTAAAATGGCCAAGCAATAAAAAAAAAGTTCTTTGCATTGCTTCTCTCTAGATTCTTGTAAAATCACACTACACTATGCTTCTAGAAACCTTCTTTGCTCTTATATTCCTTTCCTTTCTAGGAAGAATTTTTTTCTTCCACTCTCCTCTGCACAGGGGCGGATCCAGCTTTAAAGTCAGGGGGGGGGGGGTTATGTAGAAAAAATACAGTCCTCTGTTGTCTATGAAATTAGAAAAAATATCGTCGTTTTGTGCATGTTTCTCGGAGCAAAATGAGCAAGAACGCTCGTTTTTACATCATTCCAAAGAGAACTAAACGGCCTTTTTAGAAAGTGAAGCATCGATAAGGAAATGTTGCAGTTTTCTCAAAAAATGCTTGAATTCAAGAAGTTTTAGATTTGCGTGGATTTTTTTGAGTTGCAAAATCCACTTGAACATAACGTTGCTTTTTTCGAAGTTTCTCAAGAACCATTCGAGCCACAGAATTCGTTTTGCCATCGTTGGATAGAGAATTGAAAAGTCGATTCAGTCGTAACCACGTGAGTGAGGAAATTCGAGTAGTTTTGACCCAGAAAGCGAAATTTGAATATCAGACACTTAGGTGCAAGATTATGCCAAAATTTCATGTTTTCCGTCCAGTTTTTGCTCATCCCCTTGATCCGCCCTTACCTCTGCTACACTGAGAGCAAAAGAAAAATCACCAGCAATTTCTTCGATTAAAAAAATTCAACTTGCCTAAGAAGAAGCAGTGAAAAGGAAGGAGCTTCTAGAAAGTTTCTCTGGTCTTCTTTTAATCTAGTGTCTGGAAAATTTCAGCTCCAGCTTTTCTGGCATGGTTTCAACCACATTATAAGGCTCTTCCTCTTTCTGGAAAGCTTCCAAGAGAAAGTTCTAGATGCTTCAGATGAAGTCATTCTTCCAAAACCCTTTTGTTGGGTAATTCGGTTCAAAAACTGTTTTTTTTTCAAAAAATTGTTAAAGAGGAAAACACTTTTCAAGCCAAATTGCCAATAAAATTTCCTTGGAATGTCTCTTGCCTTGTTTTACGCTAATCCTAATCGTTCTAGAAATGCTCTGTAACTTCAGTTTCACTCTGATCCTGTCCAACTCCACCTCTCTAGCATTCCTCTTTTCTAGAGACTTTCTCTTGCCTCATTTCACCCTCATCTCCTAGGCACCATCACCTCAATCTCCTCTAACAAGGCTCTTTCTTCCTCCCAGGTGGGAGCCTACTGTTACGCCGAATTGGGAACCATGATCCGAAAAAGTGGCGCCGACTACGCCTACATAATGGAAACTTTCGGGCCTTTCATGGCCTTCATCAGACTCTGGATCGAGTGTATGATAGTGAGGCCCTGCTCCCAAGCCATAGTGGCTCTCACTTTCAGCCAATACGTGATGAAACCGCTGTTTGTTGACTGCGACCCGCCCGATAATGCCGCTCGATTGCTGGCCGCTTGCTGTATTTGTAAGTCTAAGTGGGTGTTGATTTGTGTAAAGCTTTCGATACCATCAGCTTGAATGTTTGCCGGCCAGCGATGGCGATTTTATGCGGATGTTTTCGTTTTAGTTGTTTTAACGTTTGTTAACTGTTACGACGTTCGATGGGCCACCAGGGTACAAGATGTGTTCACTTATGCCAAATTGTTGGCTCTTTTTATCATAATAGCGGCTGGGATTTATCAGCTATACCAAGGTAAGTTTTCACTGATTTTCTCACGATTTTCTGAGCAAAAGTTAAGTGAGTTCTTGCTTGCATAAAAAGGGCATTTCAGGAGAAGCGTGCACTAAATTAGAGCCTAAAATTGCAAAACACCCGCTTTTTCGCCTGATTGAGTTCGTTCGTTTTAGGTCATTACTCCAATTTTTCCTTTATCAACACCAAGACTGAAGTGACTTCATTGGCCTTATCATTTTACTCGGGACTTTTTGCCTACAATGGTTGGTAAGTATTTCAATAGAATTTTAACTTCATTTGCTACTTAAATTATTTGCGGTTTCAACTGCAAAATTGGTGATTTAGGGAGACTTATTAAAGTCTTTGAATCCAGCGTTCATTGGGCAATAACTCCCACTAAATTCTCATTTTTGAACACTAATCTACTTGACCAGACAAATTTATTTATTTGCATTTTAAGCGTAAAATCTATTGCTCACAGACAGTGCTATAGAGTATTTCTGCATCAATATTTCGGAACCTTATTTGCTCACCTTATCAGCTACCAAAACCTCCTCACTTTCATCAACTACCAAAACACTCTCCTCACTTCATTGTACATACTTTCCTGACTGTGTTTCAATTCCAAATCAAAATT